TTCTATGAGATGAGTCTCCTGGAGACAACATATCGTTGATTTTGTTCATTCATTTGTTTTGTTTGTTTGTTTTATGTAATCTGCTAGTCTATGTCTTTTCATTGGTGAGCTTAGGCCATTAACATTCAGGGTTATTATTGAAACATGACTTGTATTCCCAGCCATTTTTGTTTATTTTTGGTATTTAATGTGACTTGATTCTCCTCTGATTAGATTTTCCTTTAGTGTAATCCCTCCCTCTGCTGATTTTTATCATTGTTTTTCATTTCCTCTTCATGGAATATTTTGCTGAGTATGTTCTGTAGTGCAGGCTTTCTAGATGTAAATTCTTTTTTTTTTTTTGTGGTGCTGGGGATTGAACCCAGGGCCTTGTGCATGAAAGGCAAGCACTCTACCAACTGAGCCAAATCCCCAGCTCTATTCTTGGTTGGTGTTCATTTTCTTTCAGCGCTTGGTATATGTTGTTCTAGGATCTCCTGGCTTTGAGGGTCTGGGTTGAAAAATCTGCCGAGATATGAATTGGTCTCCCCCTATATGTGGTCTGATTCCTTTCTCTTGCAGCTTTTAAGAGTCTATCCTTATTCTGTATGCTAGGCATTTTCATTGTAATACAACTTGGTGTAGATCTGTTGTAATTTTGTACATTTGGTGTCCTGTAGGCCTCTTGTATTTGGCTTTCCAACTCATTCTTCATGCTTGAGAAATTTTCTGATATTATCTCTCTGAAGAGATTGTGCATTCCTTTGGTTTGAAATTCTTGTCTTGCTCTATCCCAATAACTCTTAGTATATTTGGTCTTTTGATGATGTCTAATAATTCTTGGATGTTCTCTTCGTGGTTTCTTACTATCTTCACTGTGTGATCAATTTTATTTTCCAGATTGTATACTTTGTCTTCATTATCTGACATTCATTATTCCAAGTTATCTAGTCTGTTGGTTATGCTTTCTATTGAGTTTTTTTATTTGGTTTATTGTATCCTTCATTTCAAGGATTTCTGACTTTTTTAGCATCTCTCTCTCTCTCTCTCTCTCCTCTCTCTCTTTCTCTCTCTCTCTCTTGAAGTAGACTTTTGCTACCTGTATTTGCTCTCATCTCTTTGTTGGAGTGATCAACGTTTGCCTGTATTTGCTCATTTAGGTCATTCCTTAATTCACAGATCACTTTAATTATGAACCTTCTGAACTCCTTCTCTGACATTTTATCAACTTTGCTGTCTGTGGGTTCTGTTATTGTACTATTCTGGTTTGTTTGGAGCACTTTTCTCCCTTGTTTTTTAATGTTGTCTATGTGTCTTTCTTTTTTGCAGTGTGGATCTGAGATATTAGTTTCTTCTCTATATTCTTGTAGTACCTGTGCAGATTGTCTGTACCTCACCTTGATGTTGGGCTTCCAGACCCTGCTGGTGTCCCTCAATGTATGCTACTGCATCTAAAGGTGGTGGTGGCAATAACTGAGGTAACTCAAGATAATAATTAAGGTGCCCCAAGATGGAAGCACTGTCTTATAGAGATGAAGGTGAGAGGGTGGGCCTCACACTCCCTCTGGGATGCCTGCTCTGAGATGCAGCTGCTTCTAGGCCCTGTCTACTGTCAAAGTTAGGGGATACTGCATGGGGAAGGTTCTTGCTATTACTGCACTGTCCCAAAATGAAAGTGGGTTAGGCTTAGGCTCTCAGGTGGGTGGGGCAAACTTGGACCATCCTGGATCTGGGTCCTGTGCAAGTCAGTGTGAAGGGATCTGGGCCAGGCCTGGGCTCCTGCAGTAGCTTTTGGTAGGAAGAGGCTGTCATGTGTCTGAGGCTGGGCTCTGGCAGTTGTCTGCCTTGTGGGTGGAGGGGTGATCCTGGACTTACTGTGAGCCTGGGTCCCACATAGCAGGTTTGGGTGGATCTGGGCTGCTGGGCTTGACCTCGTGTGGTACTCTGCTGGTAGAAAGGGGCAGTCCTGTACCAAAGGCTAGGTTCTAGCGGGTGTCTGCCCTATGGGTTGAGGTGTGGACCTGGGCCTACTGTGAGCCGGAGTCCCTGTGCAGGCTGATGTGGGTGGTCTGGGCTGGGCCTTGGCTCCCACAGTAGACTGCTGGTCGGAAGAGGCAGTCCTGTGCCTTATGTTTTTACTTTTAGTTCATTTCTTGATTGACTTCAGGATATACATTTAGTATAATATATAAAGTTTTGTATATCAATTTTTCTATTATGTAATTATGTTAAAAATTTAGTACCTAGGATTTTCTCTAAAGGCATATTTTCCTTTATAGTATTTTAATTTTAAAAAATTTAAAAACAAATATTTATAGGTAACTTAGTATTGTGGGGTTTTTGTTATTGTTGTTGTTGTTTCTTTTTTTTTTTGCATGCTTGAGAAATGCAGAAAATATGATAAGGAGCTGCAGTGAACAATCATGATCCCACATGTAATATAAAAGCTGAACATCACTGTTGTTCACACAAAGTTTATTATGTCCTTGGAAGGTTTAATTTCTACTATTGTTTGTTTGTTGGTGTTGGCACATAAGCACTGAGCAACATCCCCAGTCCTTTTTATATTTTATTTAGAGACAGGGTTTTGCTAAATTGCTTAGGGCCTAAGTAGCTAAAGCTTACTTTGAACCCACCATCATACTGCCTCAACCTTCAGAGCCTTTGGGATTATAGGTGTGCACCACTACACCTGGCCCTACTATTTTTTGTTGATGCTGTTAATTTGAAAATACTTAAAAAAATGTTATACTGATATTAAAACAGAAAAACCCTAGATTATTCCTGATACTCCCTGTAAATCTAGTTCTTTTCCCTTGATTTGAAGTGAACCCAGTGATTTGCTTCTAACCAATAGAATATGGCAAAGGTAATAAGATGTTACTGCCATGTTCACTTACAAAAGTTTAGTTAGATAGGAAGAAAAAAATTCAAGAGTTTTATTGTACAATATGTTGGCTATAGTGAATAACAATCTATCAATTGTTAAAAGCATAGACTTTAAATGTTCTTACAAAAAAAATGTTAAGAGTAGAATATAAGTATATTTTCAGAAAAAACAATCAGCCTTTGGTTCTTTGGGATTGGCTTATTTCACTTAGCATGATATTCTCCAACTCTATCGGTTTACCTGCAAATGCCATAATTTCCTTTTTATTTAAGGCTGAGTAATATTCCATTGTGGATGTATACATATTTTATTTATTCATTCATCAATTGAAGGACATTTAGTTTGGTTCCACAGGTTAGCTATTGTAACTTGAGCTGCTATAAACACTGATGTGGTTGCATCACTGTAGTATGTGGATTTTAAGTCCTACAGGTATAAACTGAGGAGTGGATAGCTGGGTCAAATGGTGGTTCCATTTCAAGTTTTCTAAGGAATCTCCATCTGTGTTCCATAATGGCTGCACCAATTTTCAGTTCCATCAGCAAATAATGAGTGTATCTTTTGCTCCACATCCTTGCCAACATTTATTGTTGCTTATATTCTTGATAATTGACATTTAACTGGAGAAACATCAAATCTGAGGGTAGTTTTGATTTGCATTTCTCTAATTGCTAGAGATGTTGGAAATTTTTTTTCATGTATTTGTTCATCAATTGTAATTTTTCTGAAGTGAAGTGTCTGCTCAGTTTCTTAGCCCATTTGTTGATTGGGTTATTTGGGTTTTTCATGTGAGGGGGGCTAGGGAAGAATAGAGTTACTTTGAATTAGGCAGAGGGGAGTAAAGGGAGGGGAGAAGGCATGGGGGTAGGAAAGATAATATAATGAATCAGACACTATTACCCTATGTGCATGTATGACTACATGACCAGTGTGGTTCTATATCATATACAACCAGAAGAATGAGAAATTATACTAATAAGGCCTTTACTTAGCATCTGGATGGCCATCTTAAGTGACAGCTGCCATTTTAAGGAAAAAGTTTCGCTTTCACACCCAAGGGTGTTTCTGAGAAAGGCTCTCCACTCCCTCATACCAACCCAACCCTTAACCACTGCATTAAGACCCACCTGTCTTTGATTCCTGAGCCTTCCCCACAAAAGTCCCAGAACTCAAGCCTGTTTTGCCTCTCTCTCCTATAGAGAGATGGCCTTTATCTGTCATCTCTGGCATATGAACTCTCGTGTGTATCTCTGCCTGGTCTCTGTCTTTCATTTCTCACTTACCAGTCTCTCATTCCTCACTTTCCCTTCAATATTCCATTTATGTATGATGTGTCAAAGTGCATTCTACTCTCATGTATAACTAATTAGAACAAATTTAAAAAAAAAAAGTAAAAAAAGAGAGGCTATTACAAAAATTTCACTTTAATTAAAACAAAAAACAAAAGAATAAAAAATACTGTATGGTGACTGATATAGTGAGCTAGTTATAATCATTTTTTAATTTTTAATTTCCACTCCAAGTTAATTACAGGTCACTGGTAATTTATATCAAAAATATTTTTGTCCAAAAGCACAGCATTGCCATAGCAGTAAGAAATTAAAATTTTAAATAAAATATGTATATATTTTCATCTTACATATGGTAAGATGAACTTGAAGAAAGTGAAAAAGAATGCCTTCCTTATAAAAGACTAAATAAATATCCATTGGAAAAATAGTAAGACTGCCTATCTCACTCCTTAAGTGAAATTAAACATATGAATAAAAACGTAAAAATGTAATGAGAAAAGTTAAAAACTAAAGGCTCTAGAGGAAAGGATAAAGGTAAAAGAATATCTTCATGTTATTGCTTTAGGCAAGGATGTTAAAAAGTATTTAAAAATCTAATCCAGAAGGGAAAAGAAATGAATTAGACTTAATTAAAAGTAAGCTCTGTGTTTCAGAAGACAGAAAAAAGATTAGAAAAATACAAGCCAGAAAATAAGAGATCATATTTGCAAAATATATTTTAAAAGACTGATATCAAGATGTAAATAGGACTAACCAACTAAAATTAAAAAAAACTCAAGACTAACTATTTGAGTTTTACCCCCTGAAGTAGGTACTCCATGAAGGAAATAAACAGTGAGTAACATATGAAAAGTTATTGAACTTTACTGATCATTACAAAAATGTTCATTAAAAATTTGGGATAGTTTATGCAGTCATTTACCAGGATGGCTAAAATGAAAGAGGCAGATGCACAATGCTGAATATGTTGTGGATCAATTGACACTCTTATCCATTGCCATAGAAACATAATTTTACAACCACTTCTAAAGGTTATTTGGCTGTACCTTCTGAGGCTAAACTAATTCATATTTTATAGTCATCAATTCTATTTCTACCTATATTCTGAACAGAAATGCATCTAACCATTCATCAACAGACATAGGGTTGATCGTCATGTTAGCACTATTCATTATAATCCCCAATTGGAAACATACATTAATTCATAGTTGAATGAATAGATAATTTCAAGCTTTCATAAATTGGAATGTCCATATAGTGGTGAAGACAGAACTATGAAGATAATTGAAAGCATATGACTCTTAGAAATATAATGTTAAATAAACGAAGCCTGACATAATATACATACTGTTATCCTTCCATTTATTCAACTTAAAAAAGAAAAACAGGCAGAGCTAATCTCTGATATTGAATCCAGATGGCAGATTACACATGGTGAAGCAGTAACCAAAAGGGAGAAGACAAGCTATTGCTCTAGTACCTTCGAACTTCCTGTATTTATACCGTTTTGGGGTGACAAATTACAACAACTTTTATTTACTTTATGTAGAAACTTAAGCTGTATACATGCAATTTTGAATATTTTATAGGAAACATACTTTGATAAAATTTTTATAAAAATATTCCCTTTGCCAAATCTTTATGATGATATCTCTGTCCTCATTCTGTGCTTCTTCTTGGGCTGGTATTTTGTCTCAGAAAAGTATTATCTCCACTTTCAACGTCTTGTAGTAATAACAGTATGTGGATAACAGTTTCACTAAACAATACTCATTCAGGCTCTGGTGGAATCCCTTTCAACAACTTCAGGTGGAGAACAGATCAATATCTCACCTTCTGTCATACTTACAATATCTAAGTAGAGTGACTCCTTGGGCCAGTTATTAATGTCTTTAACTAAGAGGTTTTACTAGAACTTTAGTAAGATGTATTTATAACACAATAAACTATATATATTTAAATTGTAGAATTTGATGACAAGGTTTAAACATATGTATACACTCACAAAATTAGAAGCACAATCAACATAATGAATATTTGATCTTTGACAAAGTTCCTCAGTGATTCTTTGTAGTGCTCCCTCTTTGTACTCTTTCCATGGACAACCACTGACCTTTCTGACCTTAGAGGTTAGTTTGCCTTTTTAAAAATTTTATGTAAATGAAATACATTTATTCTGGCCTCTTTTATATATTATAATACTCATAAAATTTATTTTTGTGTGTAAATTAATAGTTCATTTTGTTTCTGAATACCATGTCATTGTGTGGATATAACCCAATTTGATAAAGCATTCTCCTGTTAATAAATCTTTCACTTTATAATAAATATTCAGTTTGAGCTATTACACACAAAGTTTCTATGAATATCCCCATATGAATCTTAGTACAAGCAAGTTTCTATTTTATTCTTTATTGCATATGTAAATACCTAGTTGAATAAAAAAAAATTAACTGTCTTCCAAAGTTCTTCAATTGTGTATTGCCCTTGGCACTTGCTCTATATCTTTTCTAATAATTGCTAGAACTAGTTTTTCAGTTTAGCCATTTTAATTCGTGCATACTTATAACTCATTATGATTTCAATTTGCATTTTCCAAGTGAACAACTTCTCAAGGACTAATGGACAATTTGTATATATTTTTATTCAAATTTTTATTTTAGTCTTTCAAATTGGAGTGTTAGTCTTTTAGTATTGACTTATAAAATTTCTTTGTATGATAATGGCACATATCCATTTTCTGATATGTGTTACAAGTGTATTCTCCCAGTTTGGGGCTTACACTTCTCATGTTATTAGTAGCATACTTTGAAAAACAATTTTTTAAAAATGTTTTTTAAAAAGCCCATAGTCAAAATATTGGTTCATTGAAGGTCATCTGATCAGTAGAGTTCTAAGCCCTTTCACAATGGGCCTAGTGGATCTCTAAAACCAATCTGTCATTATTCTGCCAGTTCCAAAATGTGTAGCTGGACTAAACATACTTGGAAACTGGCAGAATTCCTTTCTACTTGAGAGAGGACTCCAAGTTTTGTTCTGTTTAGGCATTCACCTTATTGAATGAGTCCCAGCCACATCATGGAGGGTATAGTTTTGGTTACGCACCCAGTACAGTTTAAGACTCCAGTAAACTTTTGACTTGGTTTGTCTGACTTGAACCACAGTAATATTTTATCCCTGAAACGTAATTTTAATATTCATTATAGAAATAGATGATACTTACTTTTGTAATAATAAGATTCTAATTTATCTAGGAACAAATATTTTCTAGGTAAATTTATTTCCAATTTGATACTGCACATAAGCAAGGAAACATTTTGTGTTTAGTGTCAAATTCTGTAAAACATTTACTCTATTGAAGCTTGATGACACATATATTTCCCCTCTCAGAAGAATGCAAAGGGATAAAATTTGAGGACTATCTCCAAATTAAGTATGCACAGTCAAACCTCCTTACAAAAAATTATCACCACCCGATCTCGGATCTGCTTGGTTTTTATCCCATAAATAAGGGGGTTTAGAGCAGGGGGGATAATCACATATAAGTTAGCAAGGAGGATGTGGATATAACGTGGAATATTGTGGCCAAATCGATGGGTCAGAAAGGAGAAAAAGGCTGGGATGAAGAATGCTAAGATGACGCACACGTGGGAACCACAGGTATTGAGAGCTTTACGCCTGGCCTCCCAGGATGGGAGTTTAAAGACAGCATGGAGAATCTTCACATAGGAGACAGCAATCAAAATAACATCCAAAAGGATCATAGAGATAAGAATTAATCCAAATAATATGTTGACCTTGATGCTGACACAGGCCAGACGGGCAATGCCCATGTGCTCACAGTAGGTATGGGGTATGACATGGTGGCCACAGAATGACAGCCTTAGAAGGAGAAATACAAGTGGAAAAACCAAAACAAAATTTTTCAACATTCCTACCCCAACAATAAAACAAATTGTTCTGTTGGTGAGAATTGTGTTGTATCGGAGAGGGTGGCAAATAGCAACGTAGCGATCGAAGGCCATGGCCACAAGCATGAACGTTTCTATGCCTGTGAACAGGTGTATGAAGAACATTTGAGCTAAGCAGTCCCTGAAAGCAATTTCACTGAAACCAAACCAGAATATGCCTAGCACTTTGGGGATAGTTGCTGTGGACAGGCCCAAATCAGTCAGAGCCAAAATGGCCAATAAGTAGAACATGGGCTGATGAAGGCTGTGCTCAATCTGGATCACCAAAAGAATGGTGGCATTCCCCAGGAGAGCAATCAGATACACTGTGCTGAATGGGAAGCCAAGCCAGAGCTGCATATTTTCCAGTCCTGGGATTCCCAACAACAGAAAAGAGGAGGGGTGAATACATGAGCTATTTGCTGGTGACATGCTGGCAAGGGCCTCTGATGGGCTCACTCATTTGAAGGGTACTCTGCAGGTCTTCTCAATGCTTCACTGATATTGCTAATTCTGAATAAGAACAAAAAAAATATGTAGTTAATTCATTTTATCTTGGAATGCAAGAAAGATTCATCACTATTTATGGCAAAAGAAGGAAAATGATCCTTAATAAATCACTTATTATTTAAACATTCATTAGATACTCTGAGTTTAGTTAGATAATAAACCAAGCCTAGTGATAATATGAAACCAACTAGCTGGTAGATGTTTCTATATTGAACTCCATTTAAAAAAAAAATTACTTATAAATTGAGAGAAGATTTACACTTTGCTATCTGACTGATAAATGATTACAACCTAGAAACATATGTAACAGTATAGGTTTCCAAAGCACCCAAAACCATTTACTTAACTAGAAATATGAGACTGATATACACCTCTGTGCATTTCCGCATATTCTCAATCACCTTCATTTCTGATCCTTAACATAGCCTCTCTCTCTCTGACTCAATCAGCTTATACAGAACTTTCATCAAAATCTAACTTTTTTGCTACTTTTTGATTTGTGCTGCTTTTTTTATGTTTTCATGAATGGATGAAGACATTGTCTTCATTCTTTGAAATAAGAACCTTGCCTTATGAGGTTATCAATTTCAAAAAACCAATATGACAATTAACCTTAGATATGAAGCCAACAATTGTTACACAGATTCAGGCATAAAGCATTAACACTTCAGGTTCCTTGTTTATTTCCTATATTCCTCACAGCAACATCTGAGCTCATTCCATTTCTAACTACTCTCTATCATAGCAAGATTTATTCCTAAATGGGAATCATGGCCATTATCATTCTTGTTATCAGTATCATTGTTATTAGAAGAAAGAGAAGAATTATTAAAACTATGATGCTATATAAACAATTGTTATTTACTTTAAAAGAATGCTTTAGACATATTTAATCACTTTTTACTCACATCAGCCACAGGAGGAAAACAGGACAGGTTTTAACTTCCGTATCAATGTATTTTTTTTTTTTTTAAAGTCTGGATCACAGATGCATAATTCAATCCTTAAAATGAAAATGCTTTGTCACAGTCACCCAGCTTTCTGACCTCTTTAGCATTGCCAGGGCACTTCTCAACTGCATTTATTTCTTGGATTTTGTTTAGGCTCAAGCATTTAGTCCTTTATTCAATTTTTGTGGACTATATTTATCACCATGATCAGCACCCTAGGGTCTCTTTCCAGTGTACTCTTTCTTCCTTATTGCTTATTTTACTTATGCAATTGGTCCAAATTCATATTTCTAAAAAGGAAGGAGATAAGAATGAGTGGGTTCTTCATAATATCCATAAGAAATTGGCCTTTGAAGGATCTGAAATAGTGTTAATGATGGGAAACATGACGTCTTCCTAGGTAACAAATCAGAATGTTACAGGAAACATGAGAGCTTGAGATATATGAAACTGAATAGATGACTTTAAGAATAGGAGAGGCAAGGGCTTGTGAGATAAAAGAGGAGGATGGAACCCTAACTATGGAACCGTGCCTGTGGGAGGGAGGCCAAGACAGGTATGAGGAACAGACAAAGGGAGTCAGCACCCTGCCCCTGTCAGTCTTCCAGCTGCACCTTAGCTACTCATTCCCAGAAAAGCCTTCACCAAACTCAGTGCATTGGCTTGTAATGATCTCTCTCCACCACCTTATTCTAGTATGTAGCTCTTCACGGTGACTACCTGTTGAAGGTCTCAGTTCCCTTCTAATTGTAAACTTCATGCAAAATCGAGAGGGAGGGGAAGGAGTGATTTTGTTCACCATATTTCTCTTATCACAGCATCTAGAATACAGTTGTTCCTCCCCCCAAAAAAGAGTTGTTAATGAATATTAAATATGCAGATAATTATTAATTTTAGCACTTGATGAAGTCCTCATATAAGATGGACAGAATCACAAAAAAATTATCTGGCAGCTAAGGATGGAGAAAGGAGAAGGAACACTGTAATCCATCCTCATAAGTGAGTCCCTATGGGTATATGAGGTTAGTGACTCTAGCCAAGGCTTTTCTGACAATAGGGCCATTAGTAGAGGGAGGCTACTGGGCAGATATTTAGGAAGATGTTAGTGATCTTGAAACACGTGATCATGACAATCAATCACAGAGGGAATGTAAAATATGATGAATGGACTCATTCATGCATACCTGATTATCTTTATGTAAATTCTTGTGTGCTGTACTCTATGGCATCAATGAAATGGCAGTTTTAAAAGTTTACTAGCAGTGCCTTTTTGAAAATCTGAGATATTTACCTTTTACAATGTCAACTTGTTTTCAGCATATATCATTATCTCTCCATATTAAAGTGTTAAAACAAATGTTTGTACAAGGGACGAAAGGATAAACCAGGGACTTTTGAAATCTATAATCAGAGAATTAGACTTGGGAGGGGGAATTCAGGAGACTTATCCACAGCACAGAAATAAACTGGGAGAGGAAGGAGGGAGGAAATGCTGTAAAGCAGCCTCATCTATTGAGGAGAACTTCACTTTAGGTGGCAGATCCTTATCCCTACACAAAATGAACAACAAAAGTTCAGGAGCTGTGTTAAAGCCAGAAGCATGTTACATCAAGTATTCTGCAGTGTACCATTCTTTCATCAAATACTCTGCAGAATGTTACAGGCTTTCCTCTCTCTGAGACTAGAATTGTTCCTCTAGACAGTTTTGAGTGCCTCTTCTATTTTGAAGCAACTGTTTACTTCTCATGAATATGCTGTGTTTGGGGAAAATTTAGAGACAACATCCAAGGTATATGCTGCCCAAAAATGTTTTTGTTGTAAGAACTACATGCCAAATCTAAATCAATACAGATAAGATCCCCTCCTCCAACCCAGACAAAATAGATAGGAGGATAGCTAAATAAATACTGTTGAAAGGGTTGGGAATGTAGAGTGAAGCACTTAACTACCATGTGCAAAGCTTTGGATTTGATCCCTAGCACTATAATAACAACAACAACAGCACATTTTAATGATCTGGGACAGAGAAAGAGGATCCCAGATCAGGAAGTCAGAGAGTAAGTGAATAAGTTTTGCCAGTTGCCATCTCTATGGAAAAAGAAAGTTGAAGTCATAAAAACCCTTTCCCCCCTACAGGTTATATATTTAATGTTAAAATGGCTTCATCATATGGGAGACAAAGAAGAAAGTTTGAATATTCATGTAAACAGGAAGCTATATACACACAGATCAGAATGGAAGAAATTCAGCATATGCTTTGCAGATACTAAAACAACTATTTGGAATTTGGAGGTGTCAAGTTATTGCTTTTCTTTGCCATAGTGACAATGAATTAAAGATAGAAAATGTATTTATTTGGGAAATTTTTGAGAGCATCAATTTTTGGATATGAAACAAATAAATTCTGAAATTACTAGTACCATGATAAAGTTCAATAAAATTAGGCTAAAACGAAGCACTAGCTAAGAGGAGGGGGAGCAATAAAAGGAAAGGGAAAGAGAGACAGAAAAAGAACAAAACACAGAAGAGACAAGATGGAATATTATAGGCTCTATGCCTCCCCAGTCTATGTGATCAAACATGAATGGCAGTCAAGCCTGTACCAACTCACCAACCTCAGATACAGGCAAGAAAAAGCCTCCAGCCAACTTAATAACTGCTCCAATGTGCTTCAGCTCCAAACTTAGGTTCAAGGAGAAAAATTCATAATGGGATTGAAAATCCTTTCCCTGACCAGGAATAGATGCTCCTCTGGGGTTTCACTGGACAAGAGCAGGAATAGATGCTCCTCTAGGATTCCATGGGACAGCAACATGAAAGACAAACAATTCATAAATTCTCACCACTGGTTTATTGAGCATGAAGGGCACATGTGTATAGGAATCCCTTGAGACTTTCATGTTTTTCTTCTTAGGTCCCCAACTTGTAAAAATGTCTTCTTTTCTAACTTCTGTTTTCTAATTATTCTGTACCATTAGTCCCACATAGAGAATATATACTGTGTCTAAGCCATATAAGTGTAGAATCATGGTAGATAGGCTAAACAGTTTAAACAACTGTCATCTGATATCAGGCCTGGCACTGTTACCTTGACAGTGATGACATCCACTTAAAAATTTCAAAAAATATCAATATCAGTTACTTCGTGTCTATGATAATGGAGTGAAATAAAAACTATATACTCTTCCATAACTATGTCTGAATATACACAAACGCAATAATGCTGTAAAAAAAAGGAATACTCCTAACACATACAAGTAATTATAGTCATCAAATAAAGCTTTGGACCTACTCCTTTCCCCCAATTCCTGTATAAAAATTATTAATATATCTAATAATAGATTTAGCTTCTTTTCTTGAAACCATCTATTTCTGAAAGCCACCCCCAAAACAAGCTAAAATTCAATATCAAGCTCTTCCTCACACACTCTTACTGAGGACACCACCATTTCATCACAGTGTGTGAAGTCTCCCTTGTCCCAGCAAGTAATATTACCCCTCCTTTTTAATTTTTTTTCGTTATCAGTTCCTGGTGGTTGTTGACAGGACTGGTATTGCTCTGTATGGGAATATAAGTTGCTCCGCGTTATCACTGACACTTGGTACTCTGTCTCATTGTGTTTTTAGTTTGCATTTCCCTGAACTTTAGAGGTGGCTAAACATGGTTTCAAGTGTTTATTTGCCTTATGGATCATTAACATATCATTTGTTCTAGTGAAATGCCTATTGAAATATTTTGCTTGTTTTCATTGGATTATTTGTTTTCATATTGAGTTATGAGAATTCTCTTTTTTATTTTATTTTAGTATTAATTGACAAAGAATAATTGAAAGTATGTTCTGGAAAAATGTCTTCAGTCATTTATGTACTTCGCAACTATTTTCTCCCAGGATGTGACTTGTCTTCTCCTTTCCTAAACAGTGTCTTTTAAATAGCATTAGCTCTTATTTTTTTTAATGAAGTTCAATTTTTCTTTCTTTTCTAGAAGAGTGCCTTTAGCGTCTTGTCTAAGAAAACTTTATGTTAGCCAAAGTCACAAAGACTTTTCTCTTATGCAGTCTTCTAAAAATTTTGAACTTTAAGATGTTACATTTAAATTTTATGTTCATTATTTCTTTCTAAAATTTTTACTAGTACATGTAATTATACAGAATGGTGAAATGCATTGTGGCATATTCATACACGCATATGCAAAATTTGGTCAATTTCATACCACAGAACCTCCTTTCACTCATCCTTCTTCCCTTTCCCCCATCTCCTTCCTCTACCCCTAATGGTCTCCCTTCTACTTTCATGAGATCCCCCCATTTTTTTTTTCCTTTTTTCTCTCTGGTTTCTACAGATGAAGGAAAAGATAATGCATTTATCTTTTTGAGTTTGTTTTATTTTGCATAACATAATTCTTTCCATCTCTATACATTTTCAAACAAATGAATAATTTCATTCTTCTTTATTGATGAATAAATCTCCCTCATGTATATATAAAACATTTTCTTTTTTCTTCTGCTGACAGATACTTAGGCTGGTTCCATATGATCCAGCTAGACTACCCTTTACTATATAAAAAAAATAAAAATCAAAGACAGCATACTTAAGAGATACATACATTCCTCTGCTAATAGCAGCACTATTCACAATAGCCTAGTTATGGAACCAGCCTATGGAAATGCATGAAATGTTAAGTGTAGGGGCATAATTTTCTCTCAGTGGTACAGCACTTGCCTACCACATGTGAGGGACTGGGATCCAACATCAGCACCGAGTAAAAATAAATAAATACAATAAGGTATTATATCCATCTATAACTAATTTTTTAAAAATATTAAGTGTAGGGTTGATAAATTTTCACAAAGCATCAGTATCAAACAGATCAAGAAATGAAATTTATTTGCAATTCAGAAGCCATCTCATACTAGCCCCTAGTTACTACTGCTCCCCCACAATAGCCACAAGCCTGACTTTTAACACCACACGATGTTTGCTTACAAGGAAACAAAGAACCAACAGCAGTCAGGAAACCATTTTTCTCTGCTTGGGAGACCCAGAAATAGCAACTACCCCAGTTAATCATCTTGTAGACTAGTAACCAATCATCCTAATGAGCTCACTAACTCTACTTACCAGTAGAAAGCTAATATAAATATTATAATCATAGTATTCATGGTTCAGAGAGGTTACTTATCATGAAAACTTAGATTTGATGGATTTATGAGAGCTTAGCTTGATGGAGAATTGCTATTATAAGTAATGGGATATAAGATGGAGATAGTCCATAAACAAAACAGCTAACCTTGTGCAATCAATTTCTATACATTCATGCCTGAAAACATGCCTCATGTTAAATAAAATCCATAAGCCTTGGGTTAGTTATCTATGTGCAAAAGAATAAAGCTAGATTTTATCTTATACCATAAAATTAAATTAAAGATAGTTCAGAAACCTAAATGTAAATTTTGAAACTAAAAATTTCTAGAAGAAAACTTAGGGTGAAACTTCATAGGAATGGTATTTTTGAATATAACAATGAAAGAACAAACCACCAAAATAAAAAACACACAAGTGGGATTACAGCAAACTAAAAAGCTTTTACTTTTAACAATCTATGAAACAAAAGGTGACCTCTGAGGTAGAAGAATATATTTATAAAATATATATCTGATAAAGAATTAGTCTGCAAAATATACAAGACTCCCACATCTCTACAGCAAAAAAACCAACCTGATTTAAAAATGTGTTAAAGACTTAAATAAATATTTCTTCATGAAAAAAGTGTGAACAGATTTAGAAAAAGGTACTTAATATCACTAATCATCAGGGAAAAGTATATCAAAAGTACAGTGAGATATCACCTTAAACCTATCAAGAAATCTATTATTTAAAACAAACAAACAGGGGGGGGATCCAACATGGCGGCGAGAGGGGAGGCAGCGCTTTCAGTACCTCCTCAACAAAGGGGTCAGAGAGACGCATGGATACGCTTAGATATGACCTGCTGAGAAACTCCTAGCAAAATTCCACTAAAGAGAGACCGGCCGGGAATTGGAAGGATTTTTGGAGGTGACAGTCTGCGCTAGACGAGTGAATCTCCGCCACGCAGCGCAGAGGTCCAGACCCGCCAGCCGCTGCCCGCGCGACTCGGCGACTGTCGGCTGCCTGCACGCGGCCCCCGCGTCAGGGCGGATAGCCTCTGAGGCGCAGCGCAGCAGGAGCGGTGCAAGGACTCTAGGAAGAGGTCTCTCGCCAAGCCTTCATGAAATAGCAAACCGGGAGCTGAAACCAACCAGAGACAGACCAGTCCCACCCCTCCCTTCGGACACTCTGGCAAGGAGCCTGGGGCCTGCCATAGCAGAGTGGTGACATCACCAGAGTTCCGCCGACAGAATTCCTTCCCAGCGGAATCCACATTAGCAGGTGTGTGACTCCCACCCCCTCCAGATACAAGCAGCCAGGAAACCACCGGGGGCGTGTCTGTAGGGAAGCAGAGGGGATTCCAGATCCCCACCTCCCCTTAACACCAGCGGCGACACCCAAGATCTTAGCCGCCAGTTTCTGGGGGCGTGCCCACCAAAGGGGTCCTGAAAAATTAAACTGTTGGTTCCCAGATCACCCCACCACAGCACTGGGGCTTAATTGAATGACAGAGAGGGTGTTCATCGTTCGGGATATAGGACACGCGGTGGGGCTGCAAGTGTAATCAGATCCTTGGGGAACCGCCTCTGGTGAACAGGACCTGGCTGGCTGGCTGGGAGGAGGAACAGGGGGAGGGGCCGGATAAGTGAAAGGGCTCTGGACTAACAGGATTGAGAGACTCCCAGGAGCCACCGTACAGGGATTTCTGTCAGCACATAGAGGGCAGAAGCTCAGCTCAGAGGGCACAGCTCCGCCTATTGGAAGAGAAGAAAATGGGATTCAGCCATAGAACAGGGGATGCCAGCATGGCAGAGATCTGATGTCATCGGAGAGCGGGCGAGGAGAAAACTTCATCGGTGCCAGCGGCGACGGAAACAGTTGGTCCCCTGGTAGGGAGGGTGAGTCACAGATACCCGAGTCTCTCTCGCTTTGTCGTCGAGCCAGAGGCGAGGAGAGGGGCCGCCGCCCACGCCCGCAAGGTAGGAAGACCTGCGACCAACCTGCAGATCAGGCCCAGCGGTCTGCAGGCGTGGTAAGAGGGGCAGGGCAGAGCCACCGCCCGCGCTGGCAAGGTAAGCAGACCTGCGACAGACCTGTGGATCAGGCCCAGCGGCCTGCCAGCGTGGTACACACTTCACCCCAACTGCAGTAGGGGCAGAGCAGAGCCCTAGCCCGCGCCCAGATCAGGCCCAGCGGCTCGCCTGTGTGGTGGTCAAGTGACCCCAATTGGAGTGGGGGCGGAGCGGAACTGACACCCTTGCCCACAAGGTGGGCAGACCTGCGACCAACCTGCAGATCAGGCCTAGCGGTCCCCGGGCGTGGTAGGAGGGGCAGGGCAGAGCCTTCGCCCCCACCTGCAAGGTAGGCAGACCTGCGACAGAACAGCGGATCAGGCCCAGGGGTCCGTGGGCGTGGTAGACACCTCACACCAATTGGAGGAGGGGCAGAGCAGAGCCCCTGCCCGCACCTGCAAGGGAGAATTTTCAACTATACAAGAGCAACATAAATATATAGGGGGGGGAAAAATTTCAAAAACACAACAGTTTCACCAAGAAGAAAGAAACGCAAGCAGTATGAAAAGACAAGGAAAGAAAGGACTACAAGCAATGCAGGTCAGCTCAACTTTAGAAGAGGTAACA